TGTGACGCGCGCTGGTTTCACTTAGGTCCTGTAAGCAAATGTAAAAGCCCTCCCTGGCGTTCACGTTTCTTGTTTGATTCTGTCGGTTAATAGAAGCGAGAAGTATCTGCAGCATGTCTGGAAGAGGCAAAGGCGGTAAAGGACTCGGGAAAGGAGGCGCTAAGCGGCACCGTAAAGAGCTGCGGGATAACATCCAGGGAATAACCAAACCAAGCGGCACCGTAAAGTGCTGCGGGATAACATCCAGGGAATCACCAAACCCGCTATTCGTCGTCTGGCGCGCCGCGGCGGCGTCAAGCGCATCTCCGGTCTGATCTACGAGGAGACCCGCGGTGTGCTGAAGGTGTTCCTGGAGAACGTGATCCGCGACGCCGTCACCTACACCGAGCACGCCAAGAGAAAGACCGTCACCGCCATGGACGTGGTGTACGCGCTGAAGCGACAGGGACGCACCTTGTACGGTTTCGGAGGATAAACGCCTTTAAACACAAACCCAACGGCTCTTTTAAGAGCCACCCACACTCTCACATAAAGAGTTTAAGTGTTGATGATCTACGTCTCAAAATGAAAAAGAAAAAAAAAATTATTGTGAATGATTTCTTTTTTTTTTTTTTAAGTGAAACCAGTTAAATGCTGGTGTGTGTTGCACCGAAAATATAACCGTTTTTGTGAACCGAACAATGATTCTTCAGTGTTTTTTCTCTCCCGGTCTTGTCTTGTGACTCGTTCGTTTCTTCTGTCACTAAAACAAATTCCTTGTATGTATAAACGTACCTGACAATATTTTATTTTGATTCTGATTCTCAAAATTAGAGTTCGTATAATGTTATATATTATTGTCAATGAGAGCGTGTTTATTTTTGTCTTACATGGCATTTTAATTTGGTGGTTTAGCTTTTAGTTTGAATTGAAGTGATTTATACAATAAAGAGAAGACAATCAGATGGCAAAGATACTTTAGTTTGAGCAGAAGAGAGATTAGCAGGACAGCAGAGGAGAATAGTGTCTAATCGTTAAAGCTCTCCTTTCTCCAGATTCTCTCGATGGGTTTACTAGAGGTTTTTAAAAATAAATTACACTGATATTGATCCTGTGTGATATTCGAGACGGATTTGTTTTCTTGTATAGAATATAACTAACAAAATGAGCGGGAATTGAAACAAAGGAAACTGTCACGTGGGCTGATGTCGTTCAAACACTGGGCGGGGGGCTATAATTTCACCGCCTGTGATTGGCCCTCGTTCCGCTCGTGATACTTCG